GCTCAATTTAGGTTTGTATGTTATACATTAAGTTAAAAGCTTATTGTTTTAAGTTCAGTTTGTTCACCCACAATATTGTATGTGGTTCAAAAATGAGCAATTGGACTTCTTCATCTTCAAATGTGAGTATTACTTTTGTAGAGGGTGCAAATGTTAATCAGACATTTCCTAGGGGTGTGGGGCATAGAAAAGGTTGGGAAACACCACTGCCTTAAAGGGCAGTTCTATGGACTCTTTCACTTTGCACATTGATAGCCCAATTGTGTCAATTGTGTGAGCTCCAGGGACTGACCAGCCTCATAAGCTGCAAGCCACAGAAGGATTTTCCACTGGAGTCAGTTCATTACGGACAGAGAAATCAAGCAAGGAGAAATCAAAGCCTAGCCTTGCTTTTATTGTGATATTTTCAATTTTATGGATTGTCTGTATACGCACACACTTGTACACTGCCCCGAGGGCACTGCCAGTTGGACAGCATACAAATATTTTGAATAAAACATAGTGAATAAATGAAGTGCAGTGGGCCCTTGGTATCCGCTGGGGTTTGGTTCCCAGAATGTCAGAATCTGTGGATGCTCAAGTCCCATTAAATAGAATAGAAATAAAATTGTGTCCCTTATATAAAATCAAGGTTTGCTTTTTGGAATTTGTATAATTTTTGAATATTTTCAAGCCACAGACAGTTAAATTAATGGATAAAGAATCCATGAATATAGGGGTCAAAAATATTTTTTTTGTTTAATATTTTTTTATTATCTTACTTACAAATCACATTATATTCTACTATTCTACAAACATTGTTTAGAAAAACAACCAGCCATCAATAATAATAACAAAATTTTCAATAAATAAGTCAACTGAAACTAGTTTTTCTTTGTTAATTTCTACCATCTATACGTCCAAAATGCTTGTGGTTCAATATATTTTCTTGATTTCTAAATTGAACTTCCCCAGTAACATTTGATCTTGAGATTGATTTCTATAAATTGTCTCTGCTTCTGTTAACTGTCATCATCATAATAACTTCAGTATATATAATGCTAACAGTTGTTAGATTCTGAGAATAATGAAAAGAGCGCTGTTAAACTATACCTGATTTGATCCTCTATTATTTCCATTTTTCTTTACAATATTTTGTGATCGCATCCCATTCTTTTTCTGTGGATTCTTGTGATATCCCATTTATTAGCTGTATTAATCTGTCCATTTCAATCATGTCCTGTAATTTTATCAGCCACTCATCTATTGTTGGTAATTTGTCAGTCTTCCAACGTTGTGCGATATGTTAAATATATTTATTTAAATATAATACAAATATAAATATTTTATAAATATAAGCTTCGACATGCTTTCAGAAATCTACTTACTAAACATGACTTTTAATGAAATCCCCCAAATATCTGCAAGGAAACACTGGAGAATGATTCTATATATGATTACCAGACCAAAAATATTTTTGCACTTTTTGCAACTAAATGTCTGCTAGGAATGGTCAGGGGTAATTTTCTCGACATTTTCCTCCCCCCAAATTTTTTTGGGGGGGTGGTTGAAAATGGGAGGACTGTCCTCCAAGTCCTCCTAGGTGTCTAATGCACCCCTCAGCCCATCTCTAAGGTAAAGCAGATACCTGCGGCCCCTTTGGTGCTGCATGGCTTGACACGCCGTTTGCATGAACACAATGCCCCTCAATTCGGGAAACTCCAGGATTTCCAGGTAATCTTGGACCACTTTCCAGTCTGGGACAACATAATGAGTTGCGTCGTCTGACAACAATTTCCCATCTGCAAGAGAAACTCAGATCTTATTAACATGGATTCATCTATTTGCCGTCACAGTCTGTAAAACAACAAGCTCCTGCCCAGAATAATTTACAATCTATAATTCAAAATAAGAAAACAACAACAAAAGAGCCATCTTGGCACAGTGGTTTAAGTGCTGGACTACAACTCTGGAGACCAGGGTTCGATTCCCAGGTTGGCCATGTAAACCCCTTGGGTGACCTTGGCCGAGTCACACTCTCTCAGCTTCAGGGGAAGGCAATGGCAAACCTTTTCTGCACCAGTCTTGCCAAGAAAGCCCCGTGATAGGTTCTGCTGAGGGTCTCCATAAGTCAGAAACGACTTGAAGATACACAACAACATGCCAAGGGATTCTTCAATTCTTGGGCCAGTCACACTCTCTCAGCTTCAGGGGAAGGCAATGGCAAACCTTTTCTGAACCAGTCTTGCCAAGAAAGCCCCATGATAGGTTCTGCTGAGGGTCTCCATAAGTCAGAAACGACTTGAAGATACACAACAGCAACAACCAGATGCCAAGGGATTCTTCAATTCTTGGGCCAGTCACACTCTCTCAGCCTCAGAGGTGGGCAACAGCAACCCCCCTCTGAAGAAACCAAGTAAATCCCATGATGGGTTCACCTTAGGGTTGCCATAAGTTGGAAAGAACTTGATGGTACACAACAACAACAACAAAAACAATTCGAAAACAGGGAAACAACAAGAGAAGAAAAGCAACATGGAATGGTTTAAGTATACATCCATAAACTTGTAGATCTTGTAGCACCTTTGGGACTAACAGAAAGAAAGAAGTTGGCAGCATGAGCTTTCCTAGACTAATATCTACTTCCTCAGATGCATTTCTCTCTCTTTACTGATTCTGCAGAATAACACAGCTACCGTATATCATTGAATCCATAAACTTGGTAATATCCTCAGGACCTGCAAAAAACATGACAATCTGCCCCAATCCACCACTCTCCAGATGCATAGGACTTTCGCTTTCATCATCCCCATGTCCCTTGAAGCTGAGAGAGTGTGACCGGCCCAAGGATCTAAGAAACCCTTGGCATCTAGTTGTTTGCCTTCAAGGCTTTCCTGACTTGTGGACACCCAAAAGGCAAAGACGTGTTCAGAGGGGGCTTGCCATTGCCTTACCCTGAGGCTGAGACAGTGTGACTTTCCTCAGGGCAATTATGAGCAAAAACAGGCCTTTCTTGGGAGCCCTGAAAAGGCAACTTCCACAAACACCCATGACCAAAGAAGTTACGTTTTGGACAACAACTCCCAGAATCCCCCCACTCTCATGTGTGGGGGATTCTGGGAGTTGTCTCCTGCCTCAGGCCCCTTTTTAACCTGAGGGCCCCGCCCCCTTTCTCACAGATCCCGCCCCCTTCTTCGAAGGGGCCCGCCCAACCCTCGCGCATGCGCAATGCCGCCTACCTCGGGGACAATCTGCCCGGCAGAGGGCGCTGCCGCAAGGCACGTCGGGCCGCAGATAGTGCTCTCGCACGACTCTCACGGAGCGGCCTTGGAGGCCCCGCAGCAGCAGCACTTTCTCCGTCCTCAACATACCAGCCGGGAGCGAGGGCGCATGCGTAACGGGTGGGGGGGAGCGAGTAAGAGAAAGAAGGGGCGGGGTCGCGAAGCCTTGTCTCCAAGGCCTGATTCGCCGTCGCTCCCGTCAGTCTCAAGAAACAACCGTGACGGCAGCCAAGGGGCGTGGCCAGTTTGAGAGGAACGTGGGGGCGTGGCGAACCCAACATGGAGGCTGCTGACTGAAAGGGGGCGGGGCTGAGTTTAGAGCCTGAGGCGTTGGACTACAACTCCCAGAATTCCCCCGCTCCCTACATGATTTTGAGGGGAATGCTGGGAGTGGTAGTTCAGGGATGTAATTCTTTCGACTGTAGAATTTTGGCTGACTGTTGGGCTTGGGAAAGTTACTCTTTTTTTTTTTACTACATCTCCCACAATCCCCTCAGATTAAATTCAGTCAGCTTGAGTGTGAGATATAGTTTCCTTAAGTACCAAATCAAGTACTAAATGAAGTATCAATTTCCAATTTATTAATTACAATCGAAGTGTGTTTATTTTGGATTTCAATTCCCAGAAATCCCCAGCAAACATGACCCCTGGCCAGTTGGGTTTATTTAGGGGGGATTCTGGGAATTTGTTATACATACTACAAGTAAAATTTTCCCATCAATGCTTTGTGGAGTTTGGATTTTATTGTAGTAACTGGTAGTTATACAGTTTAATAATAATAATAATAATAATAATAATAATAATAATAATAATATTTATTTGTATCCCGCTTATTGCCAGACAATAAAAAAGTTTTATCTTTTTAAAATGTATTTTTATTCTTTTAATAGCTATCTATTTTAACATTGTAATAATTTAATTCCTTTTTAAAGCACCTCTTTTCTATGTTTTTAATTTTATTGTGTTTTTTTTTTAATATTATGAAGCTGCTCTGAGTCCCAGTTTTGGGGAAAGAGTGGGATACAAATAAATATAAATATAAATAAATATAAATATAAATATAAATATAATGGGAAAATGAGCCAGGAAACAGGCCTTCAAGGCTCGAAAGAGACAGAGAAATAGGTTTTTAAAAACTCTCATTTTGAATTCATTCATATCTTGGTTTTGGGGTGCCTTGTCGGATCTGGTATTATTAATTATTAAATAAAGAAGAAGGAAAAAATAAATAATATTTGGCGAGATACCCGTAATGCAGGACTATTACTGGTATCTCGCCAAATATTATTTATTTTTTCCTTCAATATAGTGGTGATACATCATCTTTTGACATTTTAATCTTGCAGCTCTTGTATTTCAGATTATGTTGTCCACCAAATGCGGACGTCGGTGCTTTTCCTTGCATTTTTGGAGAATTAAAATAAGTGGAGCCCAAATTCGGGAAAACCGAAAGACCATGAAAGACAAGTAAGGGATGCATCTCCTCTGCTTCTGAAGACTTGTGCAGTGCAATCCTATGAATCCTCTATTATTATTATTATTATTATTATTATTATTAATTATTTTACTTAGAACTGTGGGTGCATCTGCATCTAATGTACATTAGCAATTTAAATTATCCAGAGTGATGTATTGTTTTGAATGTGGATGCATCTACACTGTAGAAATAATGCACTTTCACATCACTTTAACTGCCCTGGCTTCATTCTACAGACTCCTGGGATTTATAGTTTGGTGGGAGCCAGTTTGGAATAGTGGTTTGAGCATCGGACTATGACTTTGGAGACCAGGGTTCAATTCCTGGCTTGGCCATGAAACACATTAGGTGACCTTGGGCAAGAAGTCACACTCTCTCAGCCTCAGAAAAAGGCAATGGCAAACCTCCTCTGAACAAATCTTGCCAAGAAAACCCGTAATAGGTTTGCCTTTGGCTCTCCATAAATTGACAATGACTTGAAGGCACACAACAGGAACAAGAGGCATCAGTACTCTTTGCCAGTGGAAGACCTTGTAAAAACTACAAATCCCACGATTTTATGAGATGGAACCACAGCATTTAAAGTGGTGTCAAATTACATTATTTCTCCATTGTAAATGCAGCCTGAGGCTGCATCTGCAATGCAGAAATAATGCACTTTGACACTGCTTTAACTTCAGTGGCTCTCCATCCTATGGAAATCTGGAATTTGTAGTTTTGCAAGACTTTTAGCCTTCTCTGCCAGTGAGCTCTGGTGCCACAACAAACTACAAATCCCAGGATTCCATAGGATGGAGCCCTGTGACAGTTAAAGTGGTGTCAAACTGCATTAATTTTGCAGCATAATAAATAAAATAAAATAAAATAAAAATTTAGGTCTGAGGTTACTGTACTAGAATACATCTTTCTCTGCTTCCTATAATAGTTTCCAAGGTGCATTTTTCATTCATTGTCACTGGGAGTCACTGTTTCACTAATTCAGCTTGACTACCAACCAGTGCTGAAAAGTTCCTTTTATCCATATGCAGCGAACCAAACCTTGTAACTACTTTTTGCTCAAATCCTTACTAAAGGAATCATCTGATCCCCACCTTTCCTCCCAAATCGAGGAGTTAAATATTGCTTTACAATACAGTAATCCAAAGGAATCTCTCAATTTATTCCAACACAAAAATCATATAGATGGCCCTTGTACTCTCTTCCAATTCTATGATTCTATGAAAATGAAATAATAATAATTGATTTCTTTAACCCAAAGGTTAACCTGCGGCAGGTCTGGGGCCATTTTTCATCTGCGGCATCTTTGGCAACAATGCCTCCAAACCTCCCCAAGATTGGAAGTGGCCATAAATGGACTTCTGGTTTTGGAAAACGTGGTTTGACCTTAAACAGTGCAGTGGATCTCTTTATCCCATTTAAAATGAGAACCATCACTTCTGGAGGTTTCCAGGAGAGACAATTCAGACTTATTTTTTGACCCCCCCCCCAAAAAAAAGGCTGTCCAGGAAGTCTGGGGGGCCCCAGAAACAGTCTGCATGCCAAAGTGAGAGCTGGACTAGAACTTGGAAGTCCAGGGTTCGAAATCCCCACTTAGCCATAGATTCCCACTGGGTGATCTTGAGCACAACACACTCTCTCAGCCACAGAGGATGGAAGCAGTGGCAAAACTCCTCTGAAATAATCTTGCCAAGAAGGCACATAAAGGCACATCACAAGCCCAGGTCTGCTTAATCCAAAATAGGATTCCATAATCTCATTTTTTGTGGATGGGTAATAGCCTTGTAATATGATGATGATGATGATGATGATGATGATGATGATGATGATGATAATCCATTATTTATTTATAGCCCACCCAATCACAAGGAATCCGGGTGGGTTACAGCAAAATAAAATACATAGAATACAATAAAATTTGAAATTAAGTGTAGCATGTTTCCAGATTTAGTCACCAATATACAATTTTCGCCACCAACATACAATACCACTTTACATATACTTTTCTGTTTTTGTTGCTCGTTTTAGGATGGGATGCCCATTTGGTTAGAATTTAGGTTGTGAAATTGGGAAATTTTAATAATTCAGAGACCTACAGTTAAACACCCAGTGGCAGAATCAGTGGCCAGGGCAGAGTCTTTCAGTACCATGGAGAGTTCCTGATTTCCATCTTTATGGCATTTGTCCCTTTAATAGCTTTCTCTTCAGTCTGTGGCTGGATTCCTGCAGATGTCTTTTGTTGTTGTGTACCTTCATGTTGTTTCTGACTTGTGGCAACCCTAAAGTGAAGATATCATGGGGTTTTCTTTGCAAGATTTCTTCAGAGGCGGTTTGCCATTGCCTTCCCCTGAGGCTGAGAGCATGCAACTTGCCCAAAGTCACCTAGTGGATTTAATGGCCAAGCTGGGACTTGAAACCTGGGATCGAACCCTCAAACCACTATGCCATGCTGGCTCTCAATAAATTCCCCAACGGAAGCAACTGGAGGTTTTTGTCCGATGCAAAATGTCTGCATTCAAGTTCAAGGCTGTGTGAGCCAGGTTGCATTTTGTGCATTTTGATGGATGAACATTGTGCATGTGAGCCGTACACGTTCTGTATGGATGCATGTGTGCATTGGGGAGTGCATCCCGTTCCACAACATTGGTGTCTGAGGGTGCATCTGCATTGAAGAAATGATGCAGCTTTGACACCACTTTAACAGCATTGGCACCAGCAAAAGACCATGTAAAACTACAAATCCCAAGATTCCATAGGATGGAGCTACAGCACTTAAAGTGGGGTCAAGCTACATTGTTTTGATAGTATAGATGTATCCTTAATCAGATAAGGAATATTAACCCATTTAATAATAATAATAATAATAAAATTTATTTGTATCCCGCTTATTGCCAGACAATCCAAGCGGCTTACAATAAAACCCGTATAACATATCCCCAAAAAGAAAAACCAACCCACCCCCTAATCAACCTCTACTGCGTTTCAACAAGGCATAATTGGGGATTTATGATATAAACTCTAATATCAGATCTTGGCCAACACTGCTATGCATTCCTCTCCATTTTCTGTCCTTTCCAAACCCTCTTCCAAAATCTTTGAAATCCTAAATTTTGGATGAATAATCCATCCCTCCTCCAAATAAATCTATACACTCAACTTTTTTTTTTTTTGCCATATGCATCATGTTTGCAGAATTTCTTGGGGGAATAACTGTGATTTATTTTATTTTATTTATTGTCTTTTTGCACAGCACATTCTCTCTTTCGCAGCTTCCATCTGTTCTTCCTGTTCTCTTCCAAGGAGGCATAAAAAGATAGTTTGTGCTGACACACCTCTAAGGATGCAGGTAAAAACTATGGTGCAGTCAGGCATCACAAGGAGGAGCCTTGCAGGACCACATTGATTGATTTAGTTGCTGATCGTTCAAAAAGGGAGAGAGGGAAAAAAAGAAAGAATGAGCTGTGTCATTCTCACTCTCTTTTGTTTTCAAGTCGAAGGAAGGTCTTGGCTTAGGCAGAAGCCAGATGAGCATTACTCCAGGGCCGAGGGGCTTTGAAATTTTGGCAGACTCATGGCACATGAAGGTCAAAAGACTCGCCGGAGGAGGTCATCCATTGAGCCGAGTATCTCTGCCAGGATGGCAGCCAAGTCTTTCTCCTTTTCCTGGTACGTTGCCCATCAGCTGTCAGTACTAGGCTCTGTTCTTTTCTCTCTGCATTTAATTCCTACAGGCAAAACCATTTCTCAAAGTTGCAATAACTTAATATATCCTGTGTTAAAAGGGAGAGGAAGATGTCTACAATAGCTTTACTGTGTGTGATGACAAAATGTCAAGAAGACGGACTGAGAGCAGGGAGGCAAATATGGTGTATGGAGTAGGGCTCCGCAGAGTCTCTTTCTCTTGAAAAGTTGTCTGTAACTCTGGTTGTGGCAGCTTGTTGCAATTTGCTATCAAGGCAGCTTTGACTTACAGCAACCCTATAAATGAGAGAGGCCTCCAAGACGTCTTGTCATCCACAGCGCTACTCAGGTTTTGCAAACTCAGGATAGCTGTGGGTTCCTCAGTTGAGTCAATCCACCTGGAATGCTGCCTTTTTCTTTGCCTACTGCCTTCTACCATTATTTGTTGTTGTGGTCGTGGTTGTTGTGTGCATCCAAATCATTCACAACTTATAGTGACTCTAAGGTGAACCTATCATGGGGTTTTCTTGATAGGTTTCTTTAGAGAGGGCTTGCCACTGCCTTCCCGTGGGGCTAAGAAAATGTGACTTACCCATAGTCACCCAGTGGGTATCCATGGCTGAGCTGAGATTCAAACCCTGGTTTCTAGCATCCTAATCCAATGCTCAAACCACTATGCCACACTGGCTCTCACCTTCTAACATATCAAACCTTATTATTGATTGATTAATTGATTGATTGTGCCATGCAACCTTTGCACTGAATGGCAACCTTATGCAAACCACCCACCTTATTCAGTGTGGAATATCTCCATTCAGTTCAAGGTTGCAAAAACAGAATTATGTAGGTGATGCCATCGTGCATGGATGCACATTACACATGTAGGTGCATATGTGCATTTAGTAGTGCATTTCATTGTGAAAATTGCAATTCATTGATATGGGGTGTGTGCTTTGCAACCACTGTGTAACACCATGAATATAATGTTATACTCTGTCTCCTCAATTCAGGGTTGGAACCATTGTTTGTGTCTTTCTCAGACTTTCTGGTTGCTTCTCTGGGGTTTAGGAGGGCATCCCTGCTTTTTGTTTCCCTCTGCCCTCTGAGTTTTCTTTTTCCCTTTCTCCCCCACTTGCGCCTCTTTTCTCCACTGAATAGTTGACTCCCCATGTGTCAGATAATTAAAAAAATGGAAATTACAGAACACCGGGCCAGAAAAGGCACCAGAAATCCATACTGGTCAAGGTCCGCTTGAATATTAAAATGGCTTTACCTTTGAGTGCATTGCAGATTCTGCCCTTGACAATTTCATTTTGAACACTATTTATGCTCACAAAAGTCCATAACAACATTTCCATTATGTACTTGCAGGGTTTTCTTTGCAGTCTTTATTTTTGTGAGTCAGCTTTTATTATTGTTCAGCGCTGATGTCAAGCAATGCAAATGCAAAACAGGGAAAAAAGGCTTTGCAGTAAAGATATTTCCGTTTTCTCTGGGTACAAAGGTGTCTGTTGGCCTGCAGTCCTGATGTATTCTCCCCCCAGCCTCCCTCCATAATGCAAACCAGACTAGCGCCAGTGGAATTTATTCTGCCAGGGTCCCAACCTTCATTATCTGCCCCAAAGTACTCCATCTCACTATATTTAGATTTCTTTCCAATGTTATCTCAAGCGTCTAGGGCAGCTTATAGGATATAATTACTGCTTTTCATCTTCACAGTAGCACTTAGTGTTACAGAATTAGGCTGGGAGGTAGTCACTTGCCTAAATCAGGAGCTAGGACTGAAGGCTGTGCATTACAGTGGCCACATCTGCACTGCAGAAATAATCCAGTTTGACACCACTTTAACTGCCTTCTCTGTCAGAGATCTCTGGTGCCAAAAACAAGCTACAGTTCTCAGAATTCCATAGCACTGAGCCGTGACAGTTAAAGTGGTCTCAAACTGGATTATTTCTGCAGTGCAGAAGCAGCCTGAGATTGGCAGGTGGTGATCGATTAAATAGCCCTTGTGATTTCTTCCAACTCAATGGTTCTGTGATTTCTGCACATGAAGATTTGAGCTACACAACTCTGAAGTGGGATCATGGCCCAGATATTCAGCAGAAGAACACCACCACCACCATCTTCCCTGGAGATTTTGAAATTAGAATTATAAGATGTATAAAGATAGGCCATGGCTATTAAAGTGTAGGCTTTAATTTTGTTGCATCGAAGGTGATGCAATGGAAAGCAATATCATGCACAAAAGTCAGGGGTGAAAACTATACCCTCCAGATGTTGTGAGATTGCATCTTCTATCAGCCCCATCCAGCATGCTGGGAGTTGCAATCCAAAAGCATCTGGAAATCCACAGAATTCCTACCTCCTGGTGTAGTCTCTGAAAGCCAAGGAAACTACAAAAAGGGGAACAGAGAGAGGGGATGCAGAGTATTGAACTCCCTTCCCATAAAACACCCACAATCTGTTGTTTCTTCACTGGCTGCAAAGTCCATGAGGACTGTGCATTTCAATGGGCTTTTCTTTCTTCTTTTCCTTCCCCCAGTGTCTTGTTCCATTTGCGTATTCTTGTGCCAAGAGAAGAGCACCAACCTGGATTCCTTCCTAGGACATAATGAAGACAGATGGTTTACCTGGCAACGCTGATTCTTGCCTTCTGTTTGAGGGCAAGCGGATCAAAAGAGAGGAGAGGGAATTGAAAGAGGGTTCACCCCAGCCCACAGTTGGCTTTTGAGCTCCGGAGAAGATGAGGCCCTGGAGCATTGGCCAGGAAAGAAATAAAAGGCGAAGCAAAGCAAAAGAGAGAGCCCGTGCCAAAAATAAAGGTGACCATGAACCGTTGTTCTGACACAGTTGGGCTAAGACTGCTCTTCTGTGCATCTTCTCCCTTTCAAGCAACCTGTCTGCTTTGGAGCTGGCAGTCTGCTCTCTGCGTAGGAGGAGGCAGAAGGCTTCAAAATAATCTAAATGCTACTGCCACTTATATAAAATGTAAATATGTGTACTTTCAAGACTTCAGGTATAGCGTGGAGGGGAAAGCAAGTACGGCACGACCCCTATATCCACGGAACTGATATACATGGTTTCACTTGCCTGGGTTTGAACAAATATGTCATCTCTGGGCATTTTTAGGTCCTCCGGTGAGATTCTATGGTCACCTTCCAGCCTAAACATATCATAGAATCATGTTGGAGGACCTAGAAATGTCTGGAGAAGTGTTCTCTATAAATATTACTAGGTCCTCCAGTGCAATTCTATGGTCATCTTCCAGCCCAAGAATATCATAGAACAGTGGTTCCCAAACTTTGGTCCTCCAGATATTTTGGATTTCAGCTCCCAGAATTTCTGATTGTTGGCCGATCTGGTTGGGGCTTCTGGGAGCTGAAGTCCAAAACACTGGGAGGACCAACGTTTGAGAATCACTGCTATAGAAATATGCCAGAGGACCTAGAAATGCCTAGAGACGTATTCTCTCTAAACATTTCTAGGTCCTCCAGTGAGATTCTATGGTCACCTTTCAGCCCACGCATACCATAGAATTGTGCTGGAGGACCTAGAAATGCCCAGAAAAGTGTTCTCTCTAAGCATTTCTCGGTCCTCCAGTGTAATTCTATGATTAATGTCCAGCCCAAACATACCATAGAATCATGCCAGATTACCTAGACATGCATAGAGAAATGTTCTCCCTGGGCATTTCTAGGTCCTCTAGCTTTGCTTTTGGCCTGGACTTTGATCATAAAATCACACTGGAGGACCTAGAAATGCTAGGTCATTTCAGTAAGGTTTGCTATTATATCCACAGTTTTGCATTTCCACGGTAGTTCGTGGTGTTTATCCCCTATAGATATAAGAGTCATACTATAGAGCAACAGCCATTCCAAAGTGGGGAAAGGTTGGTGTTGATGGTGAATCCAAAGGCTTTAATGAACTTGAGGGGATTCTCTTGATCCACTGCTGCAGGATTGGTGTGTAATTTTATACACAGCTAAAAATGGGAAACTCTGATAAGCAAGCAGAGAGAATGACCTGGTTGATACTTGGAGAAGTGCTTTCATTTAGGCACCAAGTCCATTAAAGAATTTGAACTTCACCGTCTTGTTTCAGAATGCTGTTGCGTGTGGTTTTAAAACTTTTAAAAATCTTCTAAAATCTGTTTTAACTTGTTTAACATATTTAGGATGTTTTAGTAGTAGTATGAGCACAGGGCTAGGACTCTGGAGATCAGAGTTTGATTCCTCACTCTGCCATGGAAACCCACTGGGTGGCCTTAACTGAGTCACACCTTCTCAGCCCCAGAAAACCCTGTGATAGTTTTGCCTCAGGTTGGCCATAAGTCAGAAATTACTTGAAGACACACAACAACAACAGCAACAACAACAACGTCTCTTTGAATAACTTCTTTTTTTAAAAAAATGGTTTTAATCTGTTTGGCTGCCCTGAGAGCTGGTGATGTAACATGGGACATAAATATTTTAAGGAATAAAATAAATAATAAATAATGTTGCTGTTGTTTTTGTCCCTAGGCAATACTGTGGACCCAAATCTTCCAGCTGTGAGATCCAGAGAAATGAGGAGAGAAAGGAAGTAGGAACAATTCTTTTTCTCTTTCTCTCTTCTTTCCTTGCCCACTCCCCAAAATGGCAAAGCTCAGAAGAGGTGGCACTACGAGGGAAGAGAAGACAAGACCTGAAAGCTTCTAGGATCTGCAGACTCTCTTTCTACTTTTCTTCCAGACTCTACTGAAGAAGCAAGAAAAAGGAGACATGATCGTGTCTTCTACTTTACTTGCTTCAGAGCTTGAGAGTAGTAACTAGATGCTTCCATTGTAATGGGGCAGTGAATTCATGCCAGAAGCACCAAGGTAACAAGCTCCATTTGAACCTGGAAGAGGCTAACAACCTTGCCCTGGAACTGTTTGGAATCCTTATCCAGGTGACCCCATGTAGCTCCTGAAGACCAAGGGTGCATCCGCACTGTGGAAATAATGCAGTTTAACAATACTTTAACTGCCAATGCTCAATGCTCTGGCATTCTGGGGGTTGTAGCTTTGAGAGACATTTAATCTTCTCTGTCAGAGCTCTGGTGCCACCACAAACTACAAATCCCAGAATTCCATAGCACTGAGCTATGGGAGTTCAAATTTCATCAAACTGCACTATTTCTGCAGTGCAGATGCAGCTCAAGAGCCAGATATTGAGCCACGTAATCCCTCTGAGTGCTGCAGACTAAAACACCAGCAGCAAAAGAGTAACATCACAAGGACCCATCCCTGGTCTTAGCTTTTGGTCCTGATAGAGGATGGGATGTTGCCGAAATAGCAGCCCTACCTACGGCTCCCAGAATCTTCCATCCAGCATGACCAATGGCCATGCTGGCTGGAGGAGTTTGGGAACTATAGTCCAAGAAAAGGACATTTTTCCAGCTCTGGTTCTGCCATGTTCAGAGGTTCACCCTGTTCCAAGCACATGCTCCTGTCGGACAAGTGTTGGACCTCACTTATACTCTCCTGTGCCAACCATTGGTTTAACCTCCATGCCACATTGCTGTTGGTGGCTTCTTGGGGCCGGTGTACACTTGCCAGAATATTCTGGCCGTGAATTCCCCCTTTTTCCTGAGGGTTTTCGGCTCTCGGAGCAAACAATGAGTGTCTACCTTCCCATGTGGTCCCCATTCCTCACCCGGTGCCAGTGC